GTGGGCAACAGCGTCGGCGACGAAAACTTGAGTTGGCCACCGAAGACCCGTACGTGCGGGCCTCCCTCAAGAGAGACATCGTCGAGCTATACGACACCTGCCACCGGCTTCTGTCGGAAGGTGGGAGAAGCCGGGGTAGCTTGTTGCTACCTGCTCTGGTGTGGTGCACGATCGACGGCGCGTTACACTTGTGGAGACTGTATGAGACTCCAAATCGTGAGAGACCCGCCTCAAATGCCTGGGCGCTGGTTGTTTTTTCCCCGCATTGGGGAAGGTAGTGTTGGAACACCCCTTGTCCTACAGTATGTCCTCAAATATATGCTATGAGTGCATTTTAGCTTCCCATCGGGTGCGTAAGGGAATTACTTTTTCGTTACGGGCCGTTTCACTGAGATTGCCCCGAGATGTGTTTTGGAGAGGGATGATGCCGGGCAGCCTCTCCTGGGTGGGAACGTACCTCAAACTGATAAGCTGCCGTATTGCCCCATGTAGCATCTCTTGGTGTGCAGCGCTCGTGCCATTTTGTCACACGCGCCAGAACATGGTTTTTGCATGTGTTTGCTTTGTGCACCGCCTGTTGCGACACACTTTTGCTTCTCTTGTCACCACCTCCCCCCCAAAAAAGACAGATGCTCAACTACGACGCCGAAGTGCACTGACTTCGTGCCGAAGCAGCAGGGATATTGAGCGCTTCTCCCAGACCCAGACCGAGACCGCCTTGGTCGGCCGCCAAGATGGACCGGGTAGGGCGTGGTGGTGGTGGAGATCGTCAGGGCGGGAAGACTGGGGGCGTAGTAGGAGGAGAAGGGGGGAGGGGCGGGGATGCTGTCGAAGGGGAAGGCGATGAAGGTCTGGCTGCTCGAGCAGCACCTGTTCTCGACCCTCGACCTCAACGGGTATGTCCCTCTGTTTTCTATTGGAAGGCATGATATGCGGTTTTTCAGTTGGGCGGGCCTTACAATCGGTGGTGTTTTGTGTATCGCATTCTAAGGCCCATACTCATACAAAATTTGGGTATATTGGTTCGAGTATGGCCATACTGTATCGTATTGGTAGGCCATAGGTGTCCCGTTCTAATACCCAACTTACAGGGATGCACTGGGTGAAGTAATGGTCACACTAAATCCCATACCAAAATTGTACCGAATATACGTTTTAGTTTTCCACACTAAATCCCACATAACTAAGCACAGGGCTAAATAATTCAACACTAAACCCTTCTTCTATACCATAAACCCCCCCCCCTCCCTCTATTACCGGCCCCGGTGTTTGCCTTGGGTTTTCGTCCCTTGGCAACGACGTTGTAATATACGCCGATCACTTCGTGAGCTCGGCAACCAGGGTACCGTTCTTGTTTTCGCCTGTTTTTTTTTTGTGGTAACCACAATGGTGGTCTAGTAGGTTATGTTGTGCGGGGTCGAGGACCCTCACCCCTCGCAAAGGGGAAGAACGCACCACGTTGTGTTAAATGTGTTTTCAACTGTACATTCTACCGCCTGTGCTGTCATTCAGACTCGCACACACGCCACGATTTGCTCGACGCGACCCTGTTTCGTCATTTTCGACTCTCTGCAACTTTCCAGTCAATTTCGTGACCTCGTCCTCTTTCCCGTTTTTTCTCCCCTTTCTCAGGCTCGTCAACGGGTGCTTTTTGGTGACGGTGAGGAATTCATCGACCGCGGCAACTGTGACAAGAACTTCCACGCCAGCTACATCCTCGACACCACCTTCATCGCCGCTGTCGAGAAGAAGTCATAGGGGCACGTGAACCGTTGGGGCTATCACATCGTCGCCCTCCCCAACAATGTCACCATCATCGAACGCCTATCCAAGACACCCACTCTACAAACGATTGATATCGCCGCTCGCCCTACCGCGGGCGCGAGCGCCTCTCCCAACAGCCCCGGCCCCAACAAGAGACGGAAGTCTTCCCTCAGGTGCCCGACGAAAGGCAAAAAACGTACACTCCGCTCCCAATCCGTTCCCTCGCCGACTCTCCTGGAGATGAACCCGAAGAAGAACCGACGACGACAACTCCGACGACGAACAGGACCCCGACTTTTCCCCCGGCGGCGAAGGAGACGACAACGGCGAAGAAGACGAAGACGACGACGACACCCACGATCCCGACAACCGCGAAAACGACAACAACGACGATGACCGCGATGCCGACTCCGATGATGACGCCTCTGGCGACAGCGATGATACGGAATAGTTTCTGCGTTTATCTGCCTTCCTTCGTTTGTTCTCCCTGAATTCGGCCACCCCCCTGCATCATACGGGGCTCGACATCGACGAAGATGAAACGCTGGAAACGGAGGGTCTACAGGGGTTCAAGGAGAAGATATCTGTTGCTTGTGCCGAGAGAGAAGAACAGAATCTGAGGAAAGAATCCAAGGATAAGGAGGGTCTAGAAGTGTACGGAATGTTGAAGGAAGGAATAGGGTTCAAGGACTACCTACATGGACCAATGGATGCAGGAACAAAGCTTAAGGTCAAATTCAGGACCGGGGACATAGGCCT